ACCAAGGGAATCCCTGGGCAATCAGTGGTGCGCACACATCGCCATGTGCCCCACTTTGCCAGTGCGCATCCTCCCTGCCGTGTCCCTGCCTGTGCACGCCGCCCCGGCGCTTACCCTGTCCAGCTCTCCGCCGCCTTCCCTGGACGGCAGCCGGCCCCTCGGGCTGGGCCTCCTCTCCACAAACACCACCTCGCAGCACGCCTGGTCCTCGTTGTGCTGGCTCTTCCCTGCGTTTATCACCCTGCCGGGAGGCAACAAAGTGTACAGGCTCTTTCTTTCCAAAGACGTGCCAGCAGAGGCCACCCCGCAGCACCTCATCCCCCCTGGCCCCCATGTCCCTGGGGACGCTCTCCGCAGTGCTCCTGCCCTGTCTGGGGCAGCAGCAGCCAGGCGAGATGTCCCGGACCAGTTGCATGGGCTGGTCTGGGGCCAGCAGCAGCACTCACTCCCACCAGCACAACTGAGCCCATGGGGGAGCAGCCACCCAGGCACTCTCCAAGGGAGGTGACCAGAAAAAGCTGATTTTGCTGAAGGTCCCCATCGCTGTTCCAAGCAGGTTAATTGCCCCAAAACCTGCCCCAGCTTCCACACACACACCCCCAGCCAGGACTCCTGGACAGGATGACAGGCTCGTCCATGTCCCATCACACCCAGCACCTCTCAGAGGGAGCAGGTGCCTCAGAGGAGGAGAACAGAAGGTGACAAAGATGAAACCAGCAGAACTTTTGCAAAAAGATTCAAACTTTCCACAGCCTACGCTGGCACAGCGGATTTCAGGTCTCGACTGCAAAACCTGCTCACAGGAGGAAGCTGTAAACATGCACAACAGGATGAGCTCTTTCGGCACAGACTTTTCAAGCGGTTTGCAGAGAGAAGTCTTGGGAGGCAGAAGAGAAGTCTCGCTGCTGAGCAGAGGGTTATTTTTGCTCCAGATAGTTTTTGCTCCAGCTACGCCTACCCTAGTATGTCCTGGGGCAAATTAACATCTCAAAAAGCTCCCTAGGATATCAGGAAGCTCAGCTCGAGCAAGGGAGGCAGGAGCAGACTGACAGCAGGGAGCAGCAAAGGTGGCCTTCGAGGCCCGATCTTCCCAACTGGCCTTCAGTTGAGGGTGAAACTTGCAGCGAGTAAAAGGAGAAGAGAATCAGGCCCTTGAAAGGGAAGTCGAAATCAGGTCCTGCTCCCAAGACAGCTCCTTGCTCCGAGCCCTGCCCGCAGCAGTTCCCTCACCCCCGGTGTCAGTTCCCCATCAGTGACACCGGGCATCGTACCGACAAGCGCAGAAAACGAAAACCACAGAAGAGCTCGAAACCCTCGGGGATGGGCAGGAGCACAAACCCCGCTGACAACATTCCCACCCGCGGGCGTGTGAAGAGCAACACTCCTGGCTGCTGCTTCTGGAGAAACACGCGGCTCCGCCGGGCCCTGCGACCCACTTTCCTTCCA